CCTAGATGCAGTATTAGCAAAGATGTAAATGGGCAGCATTCTAGTGTTATAATAATAATAATAATTTATTATTTATACCCCGCCCATCTGGCTGGGCCTCCCCAGCCACTCTGGGCGGCTTCCATAGAAACCAAAAATACAGTAAAATATCACACGTTAAAAACTTCCCTGAACAGGGCTGCCTTAAGATGTCTTCTGAATGTCAGGTAGTTGTTTATCGCTTTGACATCTGCTGGAAGGGCGTTCCACAGGGTGGGCGCCACTACCGAGAAGGCCCTCTGCCTGGTTCCCTGTAGCTTTGCTTCTCGCAATGAGGGAACCGCCAGAAGGCCCTCGGCGCTGGACCTCAGCGTCCGGGCAGAACGATGGGGGTGGAGACGGTCCTTCAGGTATACTGGACCGAGGCCGTTTAGGGCTTTAAAGGTCAGCACCAACACTTTGAATTGTGCTCGGAAACGTACTGGGAGCCAATGTAGGTCTTTCAAGACCGGTGTTATATGGTCTCGGCGGCTGCCCCCAGTCACCAGTCTAGCTGCCGCATTCTGGATTAGTTGTAGTTTCCGAGTCACCTTCAAAGGTAGCCCCACATAGAGTGCATTGCAGTAGTCCAAACGGGAGATAACCAGAGCATGCACCACTCTGGCGAGACAGTCCGCAGGCAGATAGGGTCTCAGCCTACGTACCAGATGGAGCTGGTAAACAGCTGCCCTGGACACAGATTTGACCTGTGCCTCCATGGACAGCTGTGAGTCCAAAATGACTCCCAGGCTGCGCACCTGGTCCTTCAGGGGCACAGTTACCCCATTCAGGACCAGGGAATCCTCCACACCTGCCCGCCTCCTGTCCCCCAAAAACAGTACTTCTGTCTTGTCAGGATTCAACCTCAATCTGTTAGCTGCCATCCATCCTCCAACTGCCTCCAGACACTCACACAGGACCTTCACCGCCTTCACTGGTTCTGATTTAAAAGAGAGGTACAGCTGGGTATCATCCGCATACTGATCAACACCCAGCCCAAACCTCCTGATGATCTCTCCCAGCGGCTGCATGTAAATGTTGAAAAGCATGGGGGCACCCCACAAGTGAGAGCCCAGGGGTCTGAACACTCATCCCCCACCACCACTTTCTGAACACGGCCCAGGAGGAAGGAGCGGAACCACTGTATGACAGTGCCCCCAGCTCCCAGCCCCTCAAGATGGTCCAGAAGGATGTTATGGTCGATGGTATCAAACTCCGCTGAGAGATCCAGCAGAACTAGGAAACAGCTCTCACCTTTGTCCCTAGCCCGCCGGAGATCATCAACCAGTGCGACCAAGGCAGTTTCAGTCCCATGATGAGGCTTGAATCCCGACTGGAAGGGATCCAAATGGTCCACTTCTTCCAGGCGTGCCTGGAGTTGTTCAGCAACCGCTCGCTCAATCACCTTGCCCAAGAATGGAAGATTTGAGACTGGGTGATAGTTGGCCATCGTGGCCGCATCTAAAGATGGTTTTTTAAGAAGCGGTTTAATAACCGCCTCTTTCAGCGGGTCTGGGAAGGCTCCCTCACGGAGGGAAGCATTCACCACCCCACGAAGCCCATCGCCCAGTCCTTCCCGGCTAGTTTTTATAAGCCAGGATGGGCAAGGATCCAGGAGACAGGTGGTTGGTTTCACTTGTCCAAGCAGCCTGTCCACATCCTCTGAGGTAACAGATTCGAATTGATCCCACTCAACTTGACTAGACAAAACTTTAGCACTCTCCCGCCCCGGCCCTGCTCCCACGGTGGAGTCTACTTCTTCCCGAATCTGAGCGATTTTATCTGCAAAAAACTTTGCAAAATCATTGCAGGAGAACATGTGGCCCGTACTGGGCCCCGATGTTGCAGGTGGTTCCGCTAAATTGTGAACCACCTGAAAAAGTCTCCTGCTGCTGTTTTCTGCAGATGCAATAGAGGCGGTGAAGAAATTCTTCTTCACCGTCGCTATCGCCACTTGGTAGGCTCGATGTTGAGCTCTAACCTGTGTCCGGTCAGATTCGGAATGAGTTATCCGCCACCGGCGCTCTAGCCATCTCAACGATTGTTTCATTGCCCTCAGATCCGTGGAAAACCACGGGGCTGTCCGGGCTCCATGCAATCGGAGAGGGCGCTTCGGAGCCAAACAGTCAATAGCCCTGGTTAACTCCACATTGCAGCGGGCCACCAGGGAATCAGCTGAAAGGCCATCAACATGGGATAAAGCATCCCCTACCACTTTCTGGAAACCATTTGGATCCATTAAGTGGCAGGGGCGGACCATCCGAATTGGTCCCACCTCCCTGCAGACGGGATGGGTCGCAGAGAAGTCCAGTTGCACCAGGAAGTGATCTGACCATGGCACTTCTTTCATTTCGCTTTTACTTAGTGTCAGATCACCAACATCCATAGAGGTAAACACCAGGTCCAAGGCTATGGGTTGGGCCAGACTTATTCAGGGACAGCCCCATGGAGGCCATGCTTTCCACGAAGTCCCGAGCTGCCCCTTGTAAGGTCGTGTTGGCATGGATGTTAAAATCCCCTAGGACGACCAAGCTAGGTGTCTCCAGGAGAACATCCGCCACGACCTGAAGCAGCTCGGGCAGGGAATCCTTGGTGCAGCGGGGAGGTCGGTACACCAAAAGGAATCCTGTACTGCCCCTATTGCCCAACTTCCAGAACATGCACTCGGAAAACTGGGTCTTCCCAATAGGACGCCTGGTGCAAACTAATGACTTCCTAAAAATCACTGCAACCCCCCCCCCGCCCACATGACCTGGGTTGCTGTGCGTAAGAGAAACCTGGTGGACAAGCAGCGGCAAGGACAGGCCCATCTGCTTCATCCAACCAAGTCTCTGTTACACATGCCAGGTCAAGTCCTCCATCCATGATCAAGTCATGGATGGCAGTGGTCTTATGAATCATTGACCTGGCATTGCACAGCAGCACCTTCAGGTCATGTGGGTATCCCTTGCTGATTCTAGTATCCATCCGGTCAGGACCAGACCTGGAGGCAGGAATAGTCCTCAGACAACGACTAAACCTGCCCCCTCTGTAATGACATGGTCTAGTCTTAGCGTAACTCCTCCTCCTACCCGTGATCACTGAGATCGGTTGTCCCAGTGCATCCCCCCCTGTGGAACATGCCCCAGCCATTTTGTGGGCTGGGCCCACTCCCCGGCAGCCCTGACCCCTCCCCTTAAGAACAAAATAACACCTTAAACAAACAAACAAACAAACAAACCCAATAAAACAATACAAACAAAAAACTGTAAAAATTACAAAAACATCAAACACAAAAAAATTCCCCACGCCCAACCAAACATCCATCCCACCCCCCCCCCCCCCTACAAAAAATCCAAAATAAATTTTTAAAAACATTTTAAAAACACTCTGTGCCCCTCCAGCAGTAACAGCAACTGTCCTAGTGAGGCCTGTCGGGCCCCGCCCTGGACCAGGTGGTAAGTGGCAAGAGCAGGGTCCTCAGGCCCTGAGGGTGTTACTGGGTGGTTTCCAGCCATACCGTCTTACATTGGTGGGGGGACACCTTGAATAAATGGAGATGTGGATCCCAGTGTGTCAGCTGTAAAGCTACAAATCAGGTATCAAATCCTGTATCTCTGGGTAACCCACAGAGTACTCTTCAGATTCCCCCGGGGTAGAGTCCTGCTGACCCACGCCTGGACAGGTCTCCTTTGCATCAGAATCACTGTTGAAGGCATCAAATATATGATGCTGAGTTCTAGTTTCAGTCAAAGAATAGTGACGAGAAGCACCTTGATTCTCCCTGCAGTGGAGTTCAAACTGGCATTCTTCTGCTGTGCATCCAACACCCTATTTTTTTCTCTTGATCGGCGTTGCTTATTCTTTTCAGCTTGCGTTATGTTGTAGCCAGGTTTCCCCCACAGTAGTCATATGAGACCTCCACTATGTGCGCCGATTGCATTTGAGCACAGCGCACTGTTGCACAAACCTCCAAAAAATGAGCAGAAAAGGGCCATCTGGCTGTGGAGAGGAGCACGACTCTTTGCAGATGGTTGGTGTGAAAACACGTGTTAGATGATAAGAGTAACAGTAATACCGAACTCAATGTTTTGCTTGGGTAGGCAGAGTGGTAGTTGTTGCATGTTCACACTGCTGAAGATGGCAGGTGGATGTGGCAGACCCTAACACAAATTGAGCATGTACACGCACCCTCTATCGACAGTAGAATCATGTGTTATTAAGGCACGTTTGCTAGAGGAGACAGTGGTGCCTGGAAGGGGGGGGGTGAAAATGAAGGGAGAAGAGGACTGGAAATAAAAGGAGACAGACCATTCACATGTCTCTGAGTTGGTTTGACTTTTAAAATCTGGCGTGTTGCCATTGAGTGTGTTGGACCGTGAGCTCCTTGAACTGTATCTCTAATCAGTGCTATTTTTCTAGAAAAAGAAGTGCTGTAGCTCACCATGAACACCTCCCTCGTTCTCTTAGAATGGCAATGGTGCCTACCTGAGAGGTGCTGGAATAGAGTTCCGGCAAGTTCCTGCTGAAAAAAACACACACCTGCCTCTAATGCTGCTCAGGAAATGGAGTTGTAGGGTAGATGAAAACATTAAATGAAGCCTCTCTGTTTCCCACATTACTTTCTCTCACTACTCAGCCAGCACTCCCACCCCTTCTGTGTGAGCAAAAATGCTGTGCGTGACTCATTCCTTCAGCCTCTGCAAGCTGGGCAGCAGTAATGTCTTTCTCGTCTGCATCCCCAATGTGTGGGTGTTCAGAGAACATGGCCTGAGCAGGGGTGGGTGGGGGGTAGCCCTGTGAAGCTCCACATGTTGCTGCATTACAGCTCCCATCAGTGCCATCCAGTATGGTCAATAGTCAGGGGGACAGGAGTTATGAGGTTCAGCAGCATCTGCATAGCTGCAGGTTCCTTTACATGTGAAAGAACCCAAGTTCTGTTCCTAGCATCTCCCATTAACAAGGCTGGGAGAGACCTTTGCCTGAAAGACCTTTAGGGAAAGGGCGTAGCTCAGTGGGAGGGCATCTTGATTTGCATGCAGAATGTCCCAAGTTCAATTCCTGGCATCTCCAAGTAGGGCTGGGAGAGAACTCTCCCTGAAACCCTGAAGAATCACTGTCAGGCAGCGTAGACAATACTGAGCCAGGTGAACCAATGGGCAGCCTTAGTATAAGGCAGCTTCCTATGTTCCTAGCCTGGAATGCCACTACCAAATTGGGTAGTTAGACCAATAATCTGCTTTTGGTAGAAAGCAGATTAACCCAGCAGCTCTCCTCACCGGAACTTTTCTGTAGCAAATGAAGGTGCAAAGGAGAAGGGATGCTTCTTTGAAGAGAAAACGCGGCTGATTCTTCTCATGTGGTTTTGAATGAGCCAAATTGGCACTATGATCTGGCTCAGAGCAGCGCTGTAGTTGAGGCCTGGAATTATTTAATATTTTGATTCATTAACTAGAGGTTAAAAACCGTAAAATGGAAGTTTGCACGAGGCCATGCAAAGCATAGAATTGTGAGATGGAATTCAACTCAATTGTAATCTTTCTCATACCTTTCTTTCTCACCAACCATGGCTTTTTGTCAAATGCCACCTCTTCTGTGAACCCTCTGGATACAATCCTTAATTGAAATGAAGCCTAAGTGCATTCAACTGCATTTGCACAGCTTTCCACTCCCATTGCCAAAAATTCAGCAGTAAACCCTTCCTTATAATGACTGGCCTTCTTTGCTTATGTTATTATGTGAGGTGTTATGTACTTTGATGGTGCTGTTTAAATAAAGAAAAAGAATTTCCCACCACATTTTCCCTCCCCATTTTGCCATCTTCACTGCCTTAAGTGCCTGATTCTGAAGTGGCTCCTGTTGTTTCACCAATTCACTATACTCCGTGGACACCACAAGGTCACCTTCATGCCATATATCCAAAGCACATGCAAAGTACAGGGCTTCCTCCAAAGAATCCTTGGAATTGTAGTTTGCCCTTCACAGAGCTACAATTCTCAGCACCTTTAACAAACTATGGTTCCCAGGATTCTTTGGGAGAAGCCAAGTGGCGCTGTGGTCTAAACCACTGAGCCTAGGGCTTGCTGATCGGAAGGTTGGCAGTTCGAATCCCTGTGATGGGGTGAGCTCCCGTTGCTCGGTCCCTGCTCCTGTCAACCTAGCAGTTCGAAAGCACGCCCATAAAAGTGCAAGTAGATAAATAGGTATCGCTCCAGCGGGAAGGTAAATGGCGTTTCCGTGCGCTGCTCTGGTTTCGCCAGAAGCAGCTTAGTCATGCTGGCCACATGACCCCGAAAAACTGTCTGTGGACAAATGTCGGCTCCCTGGCCAGTAAAGCGAGATGAATATTGCAACTCCAGAGTCGTTCATGACTGGACTTAACTGTCAGGGGTCCTTTACCTTTTTTAAAAAAGTGCTTTAAACATATTGCGAGAATGAAAATTAGATCAGACCAGCTTTGTCCCACTTGCTGCACTACACTGAGCAGCTGATCTCCATCTGATTTAAAAAACTTTTTCATTGCAACGAAAATCATACACACAAACATGGTCCTTTGTCCAAGGTATTAGTTCAGCTTCTAATGTGCTCAGTGGAAAAACCACCAGTGATTTGAATAGGGGGATTAACCAAAGGAAATAGAGTAACCTCTAATTCACCTCTAGCTGAGGGATTATGTAAATGAATCCACTTGTTTTTCAACTGGGAGGTTTCAGCAATTGCATATTGTGTGACCTTCACCTGTCCTTTGACTCTGCAAGTGGTCTGCCATTACTTCCTACTCATATCTCCCAGGCCACTGGAACTACGGTATTTGCTCGCCTTCCTTTCCTCCCTAACTTCCTTTCCTTTTACGGTACCAACTTTAGTTGGCCTTTTGGCCTCATGGCCCTTCACTTCATCAAATCTGGCCCTCTTTGAAAAAAGTTTGGACACCGCTGCTAGCCCCCAAAGAGGCTATGAATACACTCCCTTCTACTCTGCATCTAATGCACTCCCGCAAAAGAAGACTGGAAGAAATTTAAAGACTATTTACAGAAATATTGCAAAATTAAGGAATCTTAGAGGATGTTGGATAGAAACTAAGAGGTTTTTAGCTGTAATGCTTTAAGAGATATGAAAAAAGGTTAACAATTGGGTAAAAGTTTAATGGTAAGGATTTGCTGAACTAACAAACTGAACTGGAATACAAAAAAGGGAGGTATGAGGAGGTCCGGGGAAATAAGTGTAGGGAAGATAGGTTTGGAAAATCAATGTCTTTTTAACTGTTTTATTTTGTATGTTTCCTTTTTATTCTTTATTTTTTTGTTATATTTTAAAAACGTTATTCTTTTTTTTGTACTCTGTATTTTTTTTTGTATTTCTTGAAACTTTAATAAATATCATTTAAAAAATAATAATAATGCACTCCCGCAGCTGGTTTGGGAAGCGGCGTCCAGACAATAGCATTAGCCCCAGACCACATCTACCTTGTATCTACCCTGTTGCTATGGAACACTGCATCTTGATGTGTTTCCCCTTCAGTCTGAATAGAGAAAAAGAACGACCTAGCTCTGTTTTCAGCTGGTGGTATGTACCCATCCTCAGTTCCATCAGGTGATAAAACTGAAGAACATTAAAGGTAAAGGTAAAGGACTCCTGACAGTTCAGTCCAGTTGCAGATGACTCTGGGGTTGTGGCGCTCATCTCGCTTTACAGGCTGAGGGAGCCAGCGTTTGTCCACAGACAATTTTTCTGGGTCATGTAGCCAGCATGACTAAGCCGCTTCTGGCACAATGGAACACCAAAAACAGAGCAGCGCACAGAAATGATGTTTACCTTCCCACCAGAGCAGTACCTATTTATCTACTTGCACTTTTTTGGGCATGCTTTCGAACTGCTAGGTTGGCAGGAGCAGGGACTGAGCAACAGGAGATCACCCTGTTGCGGGGATCTGAACCGTGACCTTCTGATCGGCAAGCCCAAGAGGCTTAGTGGTTTAGACCACAGCGACACCCGCATCCCTTGAGGAACATTAATCCAGACATAAAATTCCATTTCCTTTTAACAAAGGAAAAAGGGGGAAAGGATCGACAAATGTGTATTACGAAGAGAGTGGGGAGGTAGATAAGAGAGGAAGGAGCAAAGTTCTGGATGTGGGGAGAAGGGGAAGAGAAGGTAATAGGTGAGCCTCAGGGTGAGGGATAAAGGACCAACAGAGCATTGAGAGAAGGAAAGAGAGAAATCGTTTTTGCTGCTGCTGCTGCATTGCTTCTGCTTTGCACAGGCTGAGCCGTGACCTGAAGAAAGGGAGAGGGAGACTTCACGGGGGAATCAGAAAACCACACACAAGAGATAACAAGATAAAATAAAGGAGGGCACGGTTGCACAGAGTTGAGGGGGAGGCATTTCAGTCAAAAGACACTGACGAGAAACCAGCCCAGATGGATTCCTGCCCAACGCAGTATTAACAGGGTCTCCCCACCTTTCTGTCAGCAAAAACCTTCATACGTATTGCAAGCTGTCAACAGCCTTGCAGAGCTCTAAGTGGTGTCATTCACATATGCCATTACATGTGGCAAAGTAGGATGCACTGCCATTCCCACATGGGAGGAACATGGTGTGTGTGTGTGCCTCTTGTTGTTTTCAGGCCATAAACTCCAACCCCACATCAGCCTCTAGCCCATTTGTGTCCTTTGCACGCTGAACACCCTTACAATGCACCATTTCTTTCCAGAACTGGAAATCTGCTGGCAGTTTCTCGGCACTCTCGATGTGTGTATACCCCAACCTGGTGAGTGAAGCAGGGGAAATGGCTTTGTCTTGCCTTGTGTGTGTGTCTAGCAGGCCCAGGGGGAGCACAGTGCTTTCCTCAGGAAAGGACCAAGGGCCCACAGGCAGTGTTGGGAAGGAAAGCAGAAGAGCTGCAGGAGGGAAAGAGTAAGGGGGCAGAAGTAGGCAATAGGCTATGTAAAGCATTTACATTGTTCCATAAAATAAAAACAAAAAGCCCTATCTCACAGCAGCAGCAGCGAGACGCAGGATGAAAAGGAAAAAGAGAAACAATATTTTGACATCTAATGGGAAGGTTACAAAAAACACACACACGGGGCTCTAATCCCCAGCTTCCTCTTTCCTTCTCTTTATTTTCTTGTCTTTTGTTTGCTTCCTACCACTTTGCTTGTGCTGCTGGCACGGAAGGCACATTTGGGGAATAATCCAATTATGCCAAATGCAAGGGAGAGCTTTCTTTGGCCAGCTATTTGGATGGCAGCCTCCCCATGTTTCAATTTCCCTTGGATCCAAATGGAAGCTTCTGTAGTTACTGCTTATGGTTTGATGTCCCACCACCACCTGTCTAAACTCTGCTTTGCCGAAACACCTATCCTCTCAGTCTTGTGATGTTCTCTACTTTCTGCTTTCTTTCCTGTGAATTACATTAGTCTTCCCATCCACTGACCACTGTACTCACTCCATTTTGGTTTTGCCTCCTTGTACCCTTCCTCCTTTGGCTGTCAGCAATAGCCCCGCTCTTCTGAACTTGACCTTGGCTAGATGCTGCTAAGAAGGGTTCAGCAGGGTCACCACAGCAGTTTAACAACCAATCCCTCTTCACGGAGAACGCTGGGAATTGTACCTCTGGGAGAGGAATAGGGGCCTCCTAACAACTCTCAGCACCCTTCACAAACTACAGCTTCCAGAATTCTTTGGCAGAAACCAAACTGTTTGAAGAGGTATCACAATGCTTTAAATGTATGGTGTGAATGTGGCATAAGCCTAGGAAGATTTTGTACTGGTACACCAGTGCCATGTTCTGGTGGGGAAAGGAAGATTCATAGGGTGAAACAACAGAAATGATTAACAGAACTATTTGGAAACTCCACCAGTACTTAATCATTTTATGCATTGGCATGATGGGGAAGCTGAGGCATGGCTACCAAGTTCATAGAATTGTAGGGTTGGAAAGGACCCCAGGGGTCGTCTAGTCCTACTCCCTGCAATGCAATAATCTCAACTAAAGCATCCATGACAGACGGCCATCTAACCTCTGCTTAAAAACTTCCAGTGAAGGAGAGTCCACCACCTTCTGAGAGAGT